GCAATATTAGTTTCTTAGTTCTTAGTTTCTTATGTATAGCCTATGCTTACAATACCCACGTGAAATGTTTATTGTATGTCATGAGTGATATGCTGTGTTCATTTTCAAAAAGTGGTGTTATATGTTCATCTATCTATCTATCTATCTATCTATCTATCTATCTATCTATCTATCTATCTGTCTGTCTGTCTATCTATATCTATCTATCTGTCTATATCTATCTATCTATCTATCTGTCTATATCGATCTGTCTATCTATCTATCTATCTATATCTATCTATCTATCTATCTCTATCTATCTATCTATCTATCTGTCTATCTATCTATCTATCTGTCTATATCTATCTATCTGTCTATCTATCTGTCTATATCTATCTATCTGTCTATATCTATCTATCTAACTATATATCTATCTGTCTGTCTGTCTGTCTATCTATCTATCTATCTATCTATCTATCTATCTATCTATCTATCTATCTATCTATCTATCTATCTATCTAATCTATCCGTCCGTCTGTCTATCTATCTATGTTTGTAATATATAGGCCAAGTTGAAAATGGTTTTTAAAATGATGTGGCATCTGTAAAGTGACAATATGTGTCCACACAAGTCATTTAAATTAAAAAAGAAAAAAAAGAGAGAAATAGCTTGCATGCAAAGATCAAATATCACCTCATTTACTGGCATTTCTTTGGATAGATGGAAAATATACAACCATGTGTGTCACATCTGCCACCTGTCTGTTTGACTGTCTCGCGTTCTCATGCACAAATAGTTTGTCTCATGTCCGATTATAAACCATCCATAATCCTGCAGAAGGCAGTTTACATCACTCACAGAGATGATTAAAAAAAAAACTTTGAAGTAATTATGTAAGCCTTTGATAATTACATAATCCGATTTTCATCCTATCAAGCATGTCATTTTGGTTCAGAAGAGAACATATTATTAATAATAATAATAATAAACTGCTATTATCTATTAAATTAAAATACATTTTTAGTAATTAAATACTTTGGTTTGAGCAATTTTGCCATGTCCCAGCATTCTCAGAAAAAAAGGTACAAAGCTGTCCTTGGGACCATACTTTAAGTATACAAACGCTAAAAGGTACATCTTTGTACTATATTCATCCCTAAATCGTTCATATTAGTACCTTTTGAAACTGTTACGTCCCAGTGACAGTTATGTACCTTATCTATCTGTCTATCTATCTATCTGTCTGTCTGTCTGTCTGTCTTAATAATAATAATAAACTGCTATTATCTATTAAATAAAAATAAATTTTTAGTAATTAAATACTTTGGTTTGAGCAATTTTGCCATGTCCCTGCATTCTCAGAAAAAAAGGTACAAAGCTGTCCTTGGGACCATACTTTAAGTATACAAACGCTAAAAGGTACATCTTTGTACTATATTCATCCCTAAATCGTTCATATTAGTACCTTTTGAAACTGTTACGTCCCAGTGACTGTTAAGTACCTTATCTATCTGTCTATCTATCTATCTATCTATCTATCTATCTATCTATCTATCTGTCTGTCTGTGTCTGTCTGCCTGCCTGCCTGTCTGTCTGTCTATCTATCTATCTATCTATCTATCTGTCTGTCTGTCTGTCTGTCTGTCTGTCTGTCTGTCTGTCTATCTAACAATCTATCTATCTGTCTATCTGTCTGTATGTCTGTCTGTCTATCTATCTATCTGTCTATCTGTCTGTCTGTCTGTCTATCTATCTATCTATCTGTCTGTCTGTCTGTCTGTCTGTCTATCTAACAATCTATCTATCTGTCTATCTGTCTGTATGTCTGTCTGTCTATCTATCTATCTGTCTATCTGTCTGTCTGTCTGTCTATCTATCTATCTATCTTTCTGCATTCTACTGTACGGACGTAAATTTACTTTCCCTTCAGCCTGAGGCTTATTCATTTCACTTTTGGTGTGAAAAGGCTTTTATATTTGCCAAAAATAGAACTTTTTTATTTTAAAAACAAACAAGCAAGCCCTGTCCGGATTTTAAAAAGTAACGCAAAAGTAACGCAACGCATTACTTTCCATAAAAGGTAACTAAGTAACGTAATTAGTTACTTTTTTATGGAGTAACGCAATATTGTAATGCATTACTTTTAAAAGTAACTTTCCCCAACACTGTTCATAATGCTGGAATCTTCAAGAAGTGCTTCAGTGGGTTTCATGGATGTAGGCCACTCATTAAAGCAGCACTGTGTAACTTTTTCTGTGTTCAAAATTTGCCAAATGTATGATAATGAGCGACTACATCGTGAATTCATCTTCCAAACCGCGCTTTTGTCTTATTCCGAATCACTACGGTACACTTATAATAAGTTCTTAGATTTGGACTATTGTAGCCTGGTCGGGTCGTCACCGCTGCGGAGTAACACATACCTGCGTGAATCGCCATAGACATACACTTAGAGAAGTAGCTCCGGTTGGAATGTTCTTCCGCGGGATGTGTGCAGTTCTGTTTATCTGTTTACAGTAATGTAACAACAAAAGTAAATATGCCATGAACAATTTCAGGTCACATTTCACTCACAGGTATTTGATAAAGGCTTTATCCAATTTCTGAAAATGTAGAAGTCCCAAAATCCTTCAAATGTAGGCCCTAGCTCTCAAAAGCAAATGTATGTGCCATTTTTAACGTAAATAGAACACTTTTCAAATGCTACATTTCATAAAAGCTTAATTTCAAGCGATAAAACAAGGAGTAACAGAACTAATATGCCTAACTATATTTCAGGATTTTGTGTTTTCAAGTGATGTTAGAAGCAAGCATCTAAAACATAGAGCCATGTAAATATGACTTTCAAATAAAAAGTCCATTCCATTCTATATTTATTCACATTTTCATTAACAAGCCGGTTTTTAATATTAATAACATTTGTAAATGTATAACATGGTTTTATACACGGACAATTCACCAACATTTTGGATATTTTTCCATATATATATATATATATATATATATATATATATATACACCAACAGCAAGTTAAATTTGAGGAGAACTGACCTCACACATCCACTAAATATCATCAAAAACCGATTTTTGATTAAGTGTAACTGGGGGAAAAAAGCTCAAAAATGATCTTAGTTCTGAGCACTATTTGTTTGCAAATTTGTAAAAAAAAAAAAAAAATTGCTTTTATATTTTGTGTAATCCAATGAGATTCAGAAATTCAGAAAAGGTTTTTGAAGGGCAGACTCACTGAATTATGTCCTGTTTAACAAACGCTTTAGAACAAGTGAGAGAACTAAAATTAGTAAGCATGCAGTGCCAGATTAATATGGTTTAATTCACATCTTTTTCTGGAGCAATAATTATGGTTTTTTTTTTTTTACTGGACGATCAATAGTTTGACTTAAACTGTGCAAAGTTATAGAAGTCACAATGAATCAAGTCATAAAGAAGACAAAAGTTCATTTTTTAGGTGAGTGCCATAGGTGGGTTGCTCAGGATATTACATTATCCATTGTTTTATGGGATTATTTCTGTGTACAATAATGTAGCTGTCAAGAAAGTGGAGAAAATATTTTTACTAATAACAGACACTAATATGCAGTAAGGTCAGGAACGTTATTTTTTCCCCTGCCAAGTAAGGATTAAGTATTCACTGCTGAGTGATGAGCATTTAAATATTTATGTTTTAGACGGTACATATCACATTGTATAAACAAACCAAGGTCCAATAGACAATTCCCCACAAAATGATTCGCTGTTGAAAAAAGGACATCTCAAACATGACCAAACCACTGCAGACTTGAGCTTATAAATCACAGTAGTTCACGATAAGATCTCAGGCTGAAGCATCACCTGTAAGTCAGGACTCTAGTATTCAGAGCTTCAGGCAAACCTACACGCAGCATCCAGGTGCAGCGGCCCAGGGAAAAAACACGGCAGCCGCTCACTGCTGGACTGCAGGAACTGGAGGAGTTTGAACTCCGTTCACGAGTCTGGGAAAATGTCATGAACTGATTGTAAATGGTACACATGAACACACTGTAAATGGTACTGTAATCCTTTTTCAAGTGTTTCTTTACCATTCAATCATTCATCATACTTCAGCAGCTTTTGTGAATCTGTACTCAAAACTTCATTTTTAAAAGCATACAGGCTCCAAGATAAGTTTATGGGATTTTTTTTCACTCATTTACTGCTGACTAGGAATAAATTCAAGATGCTTCAAAAAGTAAAATTGTATCCTTTATATTAGGGATGCACTGATATGAAAATTTTGGCCGATACCAATAACCGATAATTCTTTATTTTTGAAAGCCGATAACCGATATGTTGGCTGATAAATCTATATCCAAATTTTTATATACTTTTTGAGAGCTAATGCATTATTTATTGGCTTAAAGATATCGGCCAAATTTTCTTATCGGGCCGATAATGATAACAGAAAAAATGAGCATTTATCGGCCGATACCGATATGGTGGCCGATATATCGTGCATCCCTACTTTATATCATTCATGTCTACACGGTTTGGTAGAAATTATGAGCTTAAGTGTAATACTTACAATATCATAAAAGTAATATTATGAAATATTAAAAATATTTTTTTGCTTTTAAATATATTTAAAAATTGTATTTATTCCTGTTGGCAAAGCTGAATTTTCAGCAGCCATTACTCCAGTTTCACTAATATACGTATCTGACTTCTGAGGGTTTTTTGGGGGGGGGGACATTTTTTATTGAAAAATTTACACTATGGTACATTTTTCAGGATATTTTGATGAATATAAGGCTAAAAAAAAACAGCATTTGAAATATAATTTTTTGTAACATTTATATCTTTACTTTGATGAATTTAATGCATCCTGACTGAGTAAAAGTATTAATTTCTTTCAACAACAACAAAAAAAAAGTTACAATCTTTCAAAAAAAAAAAAAAAAAACGGACCCCAAATTTTTGAGCAGTGTATATTTTTTTTTAATTGATCTGAGCAATAAATATCATGATGATTGCCTAATCAAACAGTGATAAAATTAATAAATCGAAATATTTTAATCTAAACCTTATTAACAATTGATATAACTCAATGAAGCAGATTCCATCAGTTTACATTTATTTTTATCCAGTTTTGTATTAAAACACATTAAAAAAATTAATAAATATGATACCAGTGGATCACAATAACCCAAACTGATACACAGTGTTAGATTTTCACCGTTCCACTGAATATTTAAGTGATTTCCTGAGACTGTCCTCTCAGGTCAAGTCCCGAGATAACCCTTTTGTCCATATATACTTTTAAAACAATTAAATCTAGATGTTTTTGTTTTTTTAACCATGGTAAACCCCATTCAGAAAGCCTATTCTAATTTTTCAAAACGTACATTTCTGTAATTTTCAAAAACATCAAATCAGTTTAAACAAAAAGGAATGGTTTAAAATGTCTTTTAGTACGAGGGGTCAGCGGAGCCCACGGTGGAGGGCAGGGGTGTGAAGTGACAGTCAGCACATCTGGTCACATTAATAATGCAGAGAGCTTTAAACGGCAGTTTGTCACTTATTGAGTGCTGCCTGCTGAAATCTACACTGACACACAAGCTGCTGCCAAGGGACTCTACCAAATGAGAGTCAGATGAAGGGAGGGGGACAGAGAGGATGAGAGGGGCAGTAGACAGTGAGAGGGGAGGAAAGAGGACAAACAGCAACGTGAAACTTTTGTCTGAGGAGCACTCTTTCTGCTTTGTCTGTAAATGGTTCATTTCTGATAGAATCATACAATAGATTTAGAGGTTTGAATATCCAAACATTTATTTAGAAAAAAAATGGCATCTTCTTTGCATCTTTTCTTTGACCAGACAATCTCTCAAAATGATGCTAAAGATTTCCCATCAAAATACAATTGTTGCAGCACAAGGCAAACTATGCACTGTTCCTTGAGTGCAAAAGACTTAATCTGCTCAAAGGTCTAATTAACACTTTAACACGGGCTGGTAAGTCAATGAGAGTTGAGCTCACAGGTGAGCTGGTGTATGAGTGTCCAGGAGATCACCTGTACTTGAACAGATGTGTTACACGTCAGGTTTATTTCCCGGTGATGAGTGGGTTTCTCAGCACCACGATGACTGAATCGCCTCTCAGGAACATCTTTGAGATGTACCGATCCTTGTTGACTGGCTTTGACTTCTTCTTGCCCTTGCCACTTTTGGGCACCTCCGTCCACATTTCTTTCACATTCTCTAGAACCATGTTACAATGCCTGAAAATCCAGAGAAAGGAGACCGTGAGGATCTAAATTATGAAAACCTCTTTTTTTTTTGTTTACCACTTGTATCTAAATATGATGTGACCCAATTCATTTCAGTTCAAGCTAAATGAAAAGCATGTGTGTCTTTTCGTTCTGATTGAGATAAATCTGAATTGATTTCCTATCTGTCAGAAAGAGGTGATGCAGATCATAAATCTATTAAATAGAAGAATAATTGCAGCATAAAGCTTTGAATCAGACTACCTGCACAATCAGCTTTGTGAAGAAAAAAAAAGTGTGTATGTGACATTTCAGTCCTGTGCATGCTTAGCGGTAAAAAAAAACTTCAGAAAGTAAGTATGATATATGCGAGCATCAGTATAATGTTTGAAAGCATCCCGACACCACCCATGCGGCTGAGAACGGTGTTTGGCTGAACATGTAAATATGTGCCACACGCTTTTACTCTCAATAACAAAATAAACACAACAAAAATGACAGCGGTGAGAAAACAGCAGTTCAGAAAGCATCTGATCATAGATGGGAATATGTTTCCACTAGCTCAGCAATAGGATCTTTGTATTCAATTGTTTTAAAGCAAGCATCTTTACAGTATTAAACATGAAAAACAGTTTCATTTCAGCTTTCATTTATTATTACAACTTCAATTTCAACTATAAAGCAGCTCCAGTGTATTCATGTCTTACTCGCCTCTGACTTCAAGAGACTGAACACATGAAATGAGAAGATCTTCACGTCAAAGGCAGAGCCCCAGAGCACACCTACTTATGTAATGGCCATTGACCAATGATAGTTTGAAGGTGTTTACCAGCCGAAGCTTCGCAAGTCGTTTTGAACTCCTGAAACAAACTCCAAATGAACATCATTTTGATCTGATTTTTGTTCAAAATGCCATTACACTAGTTCGATCTTTGATCACTTTAAATATAATGTTGCACCAAAGGCTTTTGAGCTCAAATTTACTCCAAACACAAATTTATTGTAATGTTAAATCTTTACCAAACATTGCCACTATCCCTCAAAAAAAGAACATCATACCAACAGTAAAATATGGTGGTGGTAGTGTGATGGTCTGGGGACCATCATTGCTGCTTCAGGACCTGGAAGACTTGCGTTGATAAATGGAACCATGAATTCTGCTGTTTACCAAAAAATCCTGAAGGAGAATGTCCGGCCATCTGTTCGTGACCTCAAGCTGAAGCGAACTTGGGTTCTGCAGCAGGACAATGATCCAAAAAGTGGACCGGTGTTAAACTCTTCCTCCTCTCGCTTTTGGAGCTCCTCTGGAGTCATCTCAGATTTGGGCTTGTTTAACAAACTCCTAATAAGGACAATAAGAAATTTCAGGAGTTAGAATGTCTGGATAAAGAGTTGAGATAAATATCACAGTTTACAGTACATATACACTGCCGTTCAAAAGTTTGGGATCAGTAAGATTTGTAATGTCTTTTTAAGAAGTCTCTTCTGCTCATCATGGCTGCATTTATTAGATTAGAAATACAGGGGAAAAAACAGTAATATGAAATATGATTGCAATTTAAAATAATGGTTTTCTATTTTAGTATACTTTAAAATGGCTTTTTGATTTTTGGTTGCACCTCCTCTCAGTCATTTTAATATACTTTAAAATATAATTTATTTTTGTGAGTCAAAGCTGAATTTTCAGCATCATTACTCCAGTCTTCAGAGTCACACGATCCTTCCGGAATCAATCTAATATGCTGATTTAATATCAATATTGGAAAGTTTTGCAGCTTAAATTTTTTTTTTTTTTAGGATTCTTTGATGAATAAAAAGTTAAAAAGAACTGCGTTTATTCAAAATATAAATCTTTTGTAACAATATACACTACCGTTCAAAAGTTTGGGGTCAGTATTTTTTTTTTAAAGAAATGAATGCTTTTATTCAGCAAGGATGAGTTAAATTGATCAAAAGTGATAATAAAGACTTATATTGCTAGTAAATACTTCTATTTTAACTTTATTCATCAAATAATCCCAAAAAAGTAGCACAGCTTCCAAAGAAATATTAAGCAGCACAACTGTTTTCATCACTGATAATAAATCAGCATAACCGGCATATCCCTACAGTGTATACAGGTACTAGTTGGAAAATATTTAGCATTCAGTGATTTATTTGAAGAATATATATCAGAAATACCACAAACCTTGAAGCTTTGTTTCATGTTTCAGAAATAGCGATTAACATTAAACACTACAGCAAGTTATTAACAGTATAACGATTCAGAAATAAAGTGCACATTAAGAAATACACCCAATAACCAATCAATTGAACAAATGAAAACAACGCTTACAAAACAAACACTTAAAGATTATATTTACATTTCGCTTAGAGAGGAGAATCCTAATAACCAGTACAACAGTAGCTGCTAGCATTAGCATTAGTCTTGCTAAATGACTTCTTCAGCGGTCACCAAACTACGAACTGACCATTTCAGTCCCAGCGGTATCGCTCCAACAGTTTTAATGATATACTGTGCACAGAACAACTTACATGTTTTATTCGGTTTCGGCTTCTTAACTCTTTTCAGTGAATTGAAATGTGAGCAGCTCCACACAATCGCCTCACGTTTCCACAACGTCCAAGTCACTTCCGGGTCTGCGCCCGCCTTACTCAGTTGAACATTCCGGTTCCGGTTTTCTCCCGCAATGTCCATTTATAAACTTGTTTTTAGGTTTTATTAGAACTTTATTAGGTAAATTATAATTAATTATAATTAAATTTTAAACTAAATCAAGCATTTGGTATACAGAAATATAAAATAACATTTTTGCAACAGCAACAATAATAATAGTTCAATAATCTCATCATTTTAATAAGGTCATTTTATTTTTCGTACATATACTATTTCATGGCAGGTTGCCATTGTGGCAGATTCCCAGACCAGATATAGTCTAGCGAATGTGTGTGTGTGTGTGTGTGTGTGCGTTCTAGTGATCTGCATCTTAGAATTATTCATGTATAGATAACAGAAGAATGTGTCTGGCCTCTTAGTCGTGGTGTGGGGTAATATTCATGGGGCAGGGGTCAGGTGTGTAGACCAAACAGACATCTCTTTGTTATGTGTCATGACTGACAGGGAAGACGGCTGTATGATGGGGAGAGTTTGTGAGACAGACAAAGATGTGTGTCTGTACAGCGCTTAGACTCCAGGGGATTGGCTTACTGCTTAGAGACAGGCGGGCGCCCGCGAGGCACTATCCCACCCATGTGATTTCACAGGGTGGTGAGTTTGCTCGGGATAATCACACCCTATAGTGTGGAGATTTGAGGATCATGTCTGTGGAATTGGTTTACAAAGCCTAACAATCGTTAAGAAATGCACCCCGAGTCTTTCAGGTACATCGGCTTATGTTTTCACCTCTCCAGATCACTTCCTTCCTCCCAGACATGGTTTCTCTCTCAACTTCTACCAAGCATCTTTAGAGTCTTTACAAGCACTCTTTACAAACAGAAGCCAGAGCATGGAATCTAACCATGATCAAAGTTGTTCAAGGAGTGCGGCTTTGCTTAAAACCTCCTTCAGTCTGTGTGTGGGTTTATTTAACTATAGTTTTCAGGGACAATACGCCCCAAGAAATTAATACAATTTGACAAGACCTCCATTTTGGGATGTCTAAGGACATCCTCAATTGGGGAAATTATACATAAACAATATACTAAAGAAGTCTCTTATGCTCACCAATGCTGCATTCATTTAATTTAAAAAAAAGTAATTTTCGAAGAAAAAAAAACTTTTTCTATTTTTCTAAATATATATATATATATATATATTCCTGTGATGCAAAGCTAAATTTTACTGTAGTCTTCAGTATCACATGATCCTTTAGGAATCATTCTGATATGCTGATTTGGCGCTCAATTATTACCATACTAGTGCTTAATTATTAATAATGGTTGTTATTATTATTATTATCAATGTTAAAAACTGTGTTTGCTGCTTAATATTTTTGTGGAAACTGTGATACACTTTTGAGGATTCTTTTATGAATAGAAAGTTCAGAAGAACAGCATTTATTTGAAATAGAAATCTTTTGCAACATTATAAATATATTTACTCTCAGAGTCATGTACTGCTGAATAAAAATTCATTTCTTTCTTTCAACATTGATAATAATAAGAAATGTTTCTCGAGGATCAAATCAACGTATTAGAATGATTTCTGAAGGATCATGTGACACTGAAGATTGGAGTAATAATGCAGAAAATTCAGCTTTGCCATCACAGCAATAAATTACGTTTTAAAATCTACTCAAATATAATACAGTTCCTTTAACTGTAATAATTATATTGCAGTTATTACAAAATTTCAGTTTTAACTATATTTTTGATCAAATAAAAGCAGTCTTATGAGAGACTTCTTTCAAAAACATTTAAAAAAATTGTAATTATTTAACTTTTGACAGGTATATACTGTATTTAATGTTATAATTAGGTTTTTAAAAAATCCTCAAAACGAGATATTTGTGGACATCCTCAATTAGCCAAAATGATTAATAAATAATAATAGGAAGAATATATTTTAACTACACAAAAATTCTTAAAAAATGGTAAGTTTGTAGTCATTACAATTAGCATTAATTATAATAAGAATAGTTAATTAATTATAGCATAAAATATTGCAAGTATCTCCATTTAGATATAGTTGTTATTTTTAAGGGTGCCAAATAAAGCTGTAAAGCTTTAGAATAACATTCAGTGGAAAGTGCAAATGAATTTCAATGAAATTGAAAATGTTTTCAGGTTTATACTGTACACCTCTAATATGGAAAACTGCAATTTCAAAGTAAATGTTTTCCAGATAATAATCTAATGATTTCCTTTGGCTTTAGCTACAATATAAAAAAAAAAATTTGTATTAGGTGCATGTTGTACATAAAAATGTGTAAACCACATATTTTCTCAAACTGTATGAACGAGTCATCATACATAAACATTGAAGTAAGTTAGAAGACCTTAGTAAGCATGCGCGCGTGTGTGTGTGCGTGTGTGTGCGTGGTCTCTCACCAACAGGTTTCAATGGACACCTACCAGCTTCAGGGCATCATGTGGAAAAGCACATACTCAAAAGATTTTGATTTATATCTCAGCTGTTTATTTTGCAGGCTGTAGTGTGATGGAGGGGTGTAGAAATCGTTAGTCATACCTGTCAAAGGGAGGATGATATTCATTGCACAAATTAAAAGAAAATAGTATCAACTTACAGCACCCTTTGGGCATCCCATCATACATAAACATTGAAGTAAGTTAGAAGACCTTAGTAAGCATGCGCGCGTGTGTGTGTGTGTGTGCGTGTGTGTGCGTGGTCTCTCACCAACAGGTTTCAATGGACACCTACCAGCTTCAGGGCATCATGTGGAAAAGCACATACTCAAAAGATTTTGATTTATATCTCAGCTGTTTATTTTGCAGGCTGTAGTGTGATGGAGGGGTGTAGAAATCGTTAGTCATACCTGTCAAAGGGAGGATGATATTCATTGCACAAATTAAAAGAAAATAGTATCAACTTACAGCACCCTTTGGGCATCTCTACACCTGTCTAATTGTTTACATCTCAATTTGACCTCTCTTCATTTCTGCCTCTCATTGCCCTGCAGACAAATTACATCAGCAAATGTTATGGTTATCTTTTGCATCAGAGATCATAGTTTGCCAACACTTTTCCAGTAAGTAAATCTGTCCTGCAGAGGCGTCTTTACACATCTGTGTGTTCCTGCTCTTTTCAGGTAATATTGAGAAGTGAGGTGAAGTTCACCAGTGATGTTTAATGTAATGTGTAGGATTGTAGGCTGCATTAAGCCTAAAGTTTGTTGTGTATTCTACATTTTGGCAAATGTAAGTCATAATAATAATAATAGTAAGAGTAGTATGCTATACCACTTTCCTTGTTACAGTGTAATTATACACTGTAAAAAATGACCGTGAATTTAACGGTAAAAGACTGTAAAAATGCTACAGTAAAAACCTGTTAAATGGTTAACGGTAAATTCCCTTACTGTACACAGTGAAAAACTGTATTGGACATTACATGTATTGGACATAAATTTTAAGGTAGTATACCGTTTTTGGAAGTGAAAAAGACTGTATAATTTACAGTGAATAACCGTAAATTGACATTCCCAGAATTCCATGCGTTACATTTCAAATTTGATGGGTTTTTTTGTTTAAATAACTATGTTTCTTAGTTTTTTTTCTTATCAGTTTTGTATATTAGGGTTGTGTGTTACACCTAATGTTGTTAAAT